CAACAGCTTAATGTGAATTAATGGTTTTAAATGTTACGATGATTTTGAAAATACATCAATTGACGCCGACACTATTATTTGTTTAATTACTGTCATAATTTTGTGTAATCTTTTCAATAATAAAAATAACACATGCAACAGTAATAATTAGAAAATTACAAACATTTTTTTTATTGTTCTTTTGATTAAACGCTTTAAACTTTATTTAATAATTTATTTTATATAATAAAAAAGAATGTGTAACAAGAAAGATATTATCTTTATTACGCTTATTTTGTCAAATCACGGTACAAAATTAAGAACACAATTGTGCCAAAAACCACCTACATCACAAAACGCTACAAACACCAGAGGGGGGGGGGGGGCTTTGCAGCCCCCGGCCCAGCGCCCCTTCGTTACATCAATGATCCCGCATTTACCATTTTCGCACGCCCCAGATGGGAACCACCATCCTACAGCCTAGGCCCCTGATATATATCATTATACATAAGATGTTGACTTTAGAAACACTAACATTTTATATTGATGCGAATATTTTGGCTACTCCTGTAGTCTTTGTCAATGCCTGGCATAAAATGAACATTCTGCGAGAGTTAAATGGTAATATATTGTACAATTTGAGAAACAATACTCCAAAAGCAAGTCGGAATATTCATTACTATAGGCTTAATGATTATGTACAAATAAACAATGACAAGTGAGAACAATGAATGATCAAGTGGTGGACTGTGATAAAACATACTAGAGCTATGATTGAAACCATGGAGGAATCATCAGACTTTGATTTTGTGATCCAATCAACTGATTGTATATTTGACTTGGTTTTGATTGGTTAATACCACTGCCATGTCTTACTATTTATGCATGTGTAAGAATATCCTCTCCAAGTTTTCTCACTTTAACATATTATAAAGATAGCAGGAGCTATCGAAATATCCGTTTGATTTTGTTAAGTTTTAATAAATTGGTGTTCCAGAAGTCTACCTTCAATGATTGTACATCGTTTTTTCATTGTTTTTACATTATATAATTAATATATATATATATACATATATATATATATATGTGTATATGTATATGTATATATGTATATGTATATATGTATATGTATATATGTATATATATATGTATATGTATATATATATGTATATGTATATAGGGTTCGATTCCAACAGAGACCTCTTGTTTTATACTATGCTATAGGCCTACTATTTAACTATAATAAGGAACTTTGTTGATGAGCTGTTTTGATATGACTTAAAACATGAGCACTCTATTATTACCTATATACATTATTTGTGCTCCTAGTGCTTAGCAACAATAACTTGATTTGAATATTATTACTTATGATTTACCAGCTACTACCTAAAAGCTATATGTGGCTTAAAAATTGGCTCCACTATGTGTCCTCAAGTTGTATGAAAGGGGAGAGACTGGCCTTCGTAATGATATCGAATGGGCCTCTGTGGTCTAAATGGTATGTCCCTCGCCGCGATAGCGAGATTTCGCGGATTCGATTCCCACTATAGAGACCTCTTTTTTCATACAAGTATAATAAGGAACTATGATTGATATGATTTATAACATCATGTACTTATAAATTTGAGCACTGTAATATCTACTTGATATACACAGTATTTGTGTTGCCAGTGATAAGCAGCAATAATGTGATTTGAATATATAACAAATAAATAAATACTAACATTGCTAAAATAAGAACATCTTTATTGAGAACTGCTATTATTTATCTATTTGTTACACTTTGTCTACAATCAAACACAGCGATCCAAATTAGAACAATATGATGATCGCCATTAAGCGTGAAACTCGGAGTAACAAAAACCCATATTTATACATAGTGCATAAAGAACCAGTGCTGTTCAACCAGGAATATATAAGAGAGAGTGAATAAAAATGAAAATGATGCAAGTCGTATACTTCTACATTTATTTGTTTATCTTCAATGAATAACCTTGTACACAAACAAATTTGACACATTACATGTTATGGATATTAACGTCATACAGATTTACACTGACAATAGCAAATAACATTTTACAGGAAGCATTCTGTTGGATATATCGAACACGACTACATGCATAAAGATAGCTAATTTGGATATATTAATTCATTGCTTCTGAAAACCAGGAGTGTAATACAGATCGTTCCCTCCTCTTGAATATTGTTGCTAAGGTCCCAGAAAACAACAGAGTATTAAAACAAATGTAAACATGTGATTGTGGGACGTGCGTGTGGGTTTTGTTTTGACAAGTCAGTTGACACTCTGAAAATGCTGACTTAGTGAGGGACATTTCAGTTTATCTGTTAATGAATTTAGTATTGTTGAAATAAGACAAATATTACATCAAGTCTGTTTATAGGATTACCAAGTTCTGCAAACTACTAATATGCTGGAAACTGCTCCTAAATAAAATTATGAAAAATAGAGAGGAATTTTCTTTCAGCCTAGTATTCAGACAGTAGTCAGTTTTAGCAATACATGGTAACAACATGAACATTTGAAGTGCAAAACTTAAATATTCTTAAAGGCTTTTGCTTAAAATAAAGTACTGTAGACCTTCATTGCATTATTTCATCTTATATTTTCAGACTTGACACAATGGACCTTTTGTGTCCATCGATGCTTCGATTGGTCAGTTGTTATGTTTGATGGCACTTCGGAAATGTCCATTACAATACAGTTGAAATCTTTAATACAGTAAAATTAATGTTAAGGCAGGGTAGTTTTAGTAAAAGTCACTTCTAAGTTTTGCAAATCTATAATAGGTTTACTTTACATAATTAACATTATTAAATCGATTTAAATGGAGTGGAAGGTTCTAGTCATCAGACAGTTCAGCAATATATTTACAGTACTATTATTACATGAACATTTAAAAAGATAAATACCTGGGATGTAAATTACTAATGAGTAATTTACATTGAATGTATGGTATATTCTTAAGTAGTGTTATAATTCAATAAAAAATTACAATCAATGATAATACAGCAGTAATTTTTCAGTCTACCAATAGAATATTTTCCATGTAACCGACAGAAAAACAGTTAGCTTGGAGAAGCCCTGAATTAAGTTATTGTTATAATATTAATGAAAAACTAAGAAATTTTCAAATCGCAAAATTTATCAGATAAATCCATTTTATACACACTCTCAAATTATCATTTTTTTTAAATAGCAATTGTGAACAAATTTAAAGTTATTTTATTAGGCCTCCAAAAGTAATTATCAAAAGACTTATATTAGAACATCAATATGTAAAAATATTCTACGTTTAAGTTTATTTTCCAGAAATAGATATTACAGCAGTTTCTAAAACTGCTCTTTGCCAAATCTGTACATTATAATGAATCATTAATTTCATAATCATCACCCTGAAAATTATCATTACCTTCCTCTTAATGATATACAGAACTGTCTTTGATGAGCCAATAAAATTAATAGCTGATATACTGTAGCTTATTGAATTGGCCAAAACAATATGAATAAAGTAGATGTTCTATATGATCAGATTACAAGAAATTATCATAATCATCTTTGATGTTTTCCTCATCAGAGTCGTCGTCATCGTCGTCGTCGTTGTCGTCGTCAGAGATGTCATAATCTACAACTATATTACCATCATTGTCACTATCCGAATCAAAATCAGGACGTTGACGATTATTGGCAGAAGCATCCACATTTATCTTAGAATTGGTAACCTTTAATTTGCAGTCAAGAGGTAAGTACCTTGCGACCTGCAAGGTAATGGTATCCAAACTTGTAATGTCATTGTCCAGTAGGACAAGACTTCTGAGGCGAAGTTCCAAATTACATTTTCTTTTTAGTTCCATCAAAAATTTTTCCATTACTGCTTCTGTAATGCGACTACTTGATAACCTCAGTATCTGTAATTCTGGAAATATCTCCAGTACAGATGCCAAATGATCCCCTGACGCTGGCTCATTAAACTTTGAGGATGACATATCCAATGCCGTAAGTCCTGAAGCAAAAGTACATCTGTCATTTTTAATAGCAGTTACAAGTCTCTCGAGAACATCTGCATCAATATCACAATCCTTAAGTATTAGAGTTTTAAGTTGGGTCAGAGATAACACCAGGACTTTAAAGTTCACATTAGGCAGTTTTGAGTTACTAAGATCAAGATACCCAAGAGCACTTGTAATACCAGATGATAAAAGTTCTTCTCCAAGGCTGTTAAGGAAACCTTCATTTGATGTCACCAATCGTAATTTTGTATCAATTGTTGCAGAACGGAGAACCTGAGCAACAAATATTTTCTTGTGATCTGCTTTTTTAAAATGGCAACGGGAGAGATCAATCCTGGAAAATTTACATATCCTTTCCAGTAAGCATCCAGGATTGTCATAAATTCGACACATTTCTAGGCGTAGTTCAGATAATTTGGGAAGTACTTTCACAGCTTTCAAAAACCGTGCCATCTCTCCTGATTTGAAATTATGACCAGACAAATCAAGGTGTCTTAAGCCAAGTTTATAGGTAACTGTTTCATCTTCATGATGTTCAATAAGTGTTGTAATAAAGGAATGCAGAGATGATTTCCCAGTCCTAAACATAGACATATCAAGGCTTTGAAGCTCTGGAAATTGGAAAAGCAGACGACCGAACATGTTACCCACTTCATCAGCATCGACTCCTTCAAATTTGAGCTCTCCAAAGCTTAATACCCGAAGGTGTTTATGAATACTATCTATTTGACAGTCTAGGTGAAGAACCATTTCCATAAAAACAGATGCAGACATCTTGTTTTCAATAGGTGTAACCTTGAACACCTGCAGATTCCTGAAACTGAGAAGTAACTTGGCAATCAATGTTCCAGAGTTTGGGAAATTCAAGTTGCAATCACCAAGACAAAATTCTGTCAATATTTCTCTGGACAGTATTTTTTCATTGAGAATTTCTACAAAAAAAGGTTTTACATCTTGCAAACCAGATAGATCTAACTTTTGGACATACAGACTTGCTAAAAATTCAGATTCAGACTTATGAGTTGTAGTGTAGCTTTTCATGTGATGGAGTTCAGAAACATTTGTTTCTTCAAAAATCAACCCTAGTTTAGATGCAACTGATGTTTGTTTCTCATCAGTTAATTCCTTTTGCTTGATGTTCAATCGGTTCTCAAATAAACCATTTAAGGTAACTCTTCCAACATACAACATAGCATCAAAATGTTCAAGATTAATTTCAGAAAAATTATCAATTTTTCTTTTTTCTTGTTTGCCAAGGAATTGATTTACCTTGCAAACCAACAATTCTCGATAAAGTTCTATTACAGTGGAGGGCACCTGGCCTTTGACCTTCCACAATGTACAAAGATAGAAGAGAAATAGTGGTGTTCTGGCCATCTCAAAGATATGTTTGTACTGATTGTCATTTCTTAATTTTATCAGATTTTGTCCTTGGTCCAGGTCATCTTTAAAGAATTTGTCTATGTACTCATCTTGTCGTTCAGGTTTGAATCCCCTAATTTTGATGTGTGATTCACAGACTTTAACTAATTTATCCATATTATCAGGCCTTGTGGTTACAACTAGGACACTTTCATTTAACTCATTTCTTTTAAATACTTCTTCAAGCTCTGATCCCACACCTGCAAATAGCTCATCATATCCATCACATAAGAACACAAAATGTTTATCATTTTGTATGATCACTCATTGCAATACCTGTAAAGTAACCTTAAACTTTTTAAGGGAGTCCTTAGGCAGACCATTCTCTATAGCATTTTCAAGAAAACCTTTCTTTTGCATGTTCTTTAATTCCAGGAAAAAGACGATTTTTTCACCAAAGACACCTTTGTTGGGATCATCAGCCCAAGAACGAGCAAGTCTTTTCATCAGAGTTGTCTTCCCATTTCCAAGCTCCCCTTGGATCAGAATCCTCTTAGGATCATCATTTTTTTTCCTATAGGGTGCTGCAATGTCATCAATTTTAATCTCTTTTGCTTTCTTTTCATTACCTGAATTTGGGTTCTGAAACATTATCATATCAGTGAAGAGATCTTGTATATCTATTTTGTGTTTTGACCACTGAGATGGAGTGAACTCGGTAAAAGTCGCCCGTTTATACTGATTCTTTAACTGAAGCTGTAAATCTTTCAACAATGAAGGCCCTGAAAAAGAAATATACATTCGCATAATGGAGACATAAAATTTATTAAATATATATTATATTATAATACAGCCAGTTTAAAGTTTATCTCTATGTAACAAGATTTATTTATAAAATATTTTAAAGAAAATCCTGTCTTATAATGCTCATAGGAACAGGGTATATCATATTGATCTCAGTGTTATTTGCCATACAATAAGAAGTAGCACTTTTGAATTGTGCACGTGCAAATAAGGTTGAGAATGATTTAGTTGGATTTGAATAGACCAATTCGGGGATGTTTTACAGCCGGTCACATGACATAACTTGGGTATACCACGGAAAACATTACTGTACGATCAGTGTGAAAGTATAGGAAAAGATAATGTTATGGTTGTGAAAACAACTACCCACTGTTAATGCGAAAAATATATGGCAAGGAAAGGCAATACGATTGTTCAAAAGTGTTTATTTATATTCTCCTAAGATTGTATGCTAATACATCAATAACAAGGGAATGCCGCAATAGCAATCGCCATGTAAAACACTGTTGTTGTTTACATCCAAAACACAAGCAAAATAGCATCTCTGGCAAGATTCGAAGTATCATACCGTAAAGGCCAACTCAGAAAGCAACGTATGACACAACCCGATGCGATTCATCGTCAGGGACAGTCTTGAGCCGTCGTAAGAAATATTAAACATGTTTAATATTCTACGACGCGACTGCCCCCGTGGTGGTATTGGTGGTGTCGGTCTAATAATGGTCAATGAATGTACAACCCCTTTGTTTATCGGTGTTAAGGCGCTTTAAATAAACTATTCATCTTCCATTACCTTTTTCTTTAGCCTGATTGTTCAGCTGTTCTTCCCTTTGTTCTTCTGTAAATATGAGAATATGAGGAAATGTATTACATCTACATATATATTCATTCAATAACAATCTTTGAACATGTATATCTTGAAATGAACATTGAACACTTTTTGCATAAACACTTGACTCAATTTTAAAGATTTAAAACACAGTGGGTTTTAGTAATAGAAGCTACCTCAAAATCAGTAAAATGAAAGTTAAATTTGGCAGCAGGTGCAAGGAAAGTTTTTTTTTATAAAGTTCTTCTTATCATGTCCACACATTTGCTAATACTTTGTTTCAGCCAGAGCTGGACACAGTGTCTAGCACAATCACTGTACTCTGCCAGGTCCATCAGATGGCAAGCATGATGATATACAAGTAAATGTTGACTTGACCTTGTGTGTGGTTGTGGTAGAATTAGCGTTATCCAGGGCTACGATGAGGACGCTTTTACCATGAACCCTTTTTATTGATATGAGACTAGCTACAATTACATATACATATGGAAATTTTCCAGATAGAACAGGTTGAATACAGTAATATGAATCATGGCTGGCGGAACGTTTTTCAAAGTGGGGGGCCCACTTATAAGCAGGCGCGTAACAGGGGTCTTGGGTCAGGGGGTGGCGGCAAAGGTAATAATTTTCCCGGTTAGTAATTTATGACTTGATGTGATACCCACCCCACCCCCCACCACATAGAAAACGATACGACATAGGGCTTATTTTATTATTACACACGTGTGTTTGAAACTAAATATAAGCATTTTCATCGTGGTTTTATTTATTACAATCATAGGCCTATTCTTTCACCATCATTACACATTGAGGCCCTTCTTTTAGGTAAAACGATCTATCTTAAATTTTCTTTCTCAAGTTTGGGACTATTATGTTTTTAAATAACTTAGAAGGCAAAGGAGGGCAAGCACAAGCCTTAACCCTAACAAATGCGTGCGAAGCGCGCAAAAAATTGTTGTGTTTTTAATTCTAATTTCGTCGCAATTGATCAAAACTCCCTAAATGTGCAATTTTTAGAGGAAATTGGCCTACCTCAACAAGAAATGCTCTTATGTTATATATGGCCACACTCGTTCTTTTAAACTGAACATAAGCATTTTCCTTATGGCTTTATTTATTACAAACATGTTCTTTCAACATCATTACACATTGAGGCCCTTCTTTTTGGTAAAACGATCTATCTTAATTTTTCTTTCTTGAGTTTGGGACTATGTGTTATAACTTAGAAGGCAAAGGAGAGCAAGCACAAGCTTAGACATTAAAAAATGCGCGCGAAGCGGGCGAAAAATTATTGTTTTTTTTAATTCTAATTTCGTCGGAATTGATCAAAACTCCCTAAAATGTACAATTTTTAGAGGAAATTGGCCTACCTCAACAAGAAATGCTCTTATGTTATATATGGCCACACTCATTTTTTTGAACTGAATATAAGCATTTTCCTTATGGATTTATTTATTACAAACATATTCTTTCAACATTATTACACATTGAGGCCCTTCTTTTATAAACGATCTATCCTTAAATTTTCTTTCTTGAGTTTGGGACTATGTGTTATAATTTATAAGGCAAAGGAGAGCAAGCACAAGCTTTAACATTAAAAAATGCGTGCGTAGCGCACGAAAAATGTTGTTTTCTAATTTTGTCGGAATTGATCAAAACTTCCTAAAATGTGCAATTTTAAGAGGAAATTGGCCTACTGTACCTCAACAAAATATTGGATTTAAAATTTGAGATTTTCAGGCACTTTCCCGGGTGAAAAAAGCATTCAATGGGGAAAGATTTTCCACAGATGGATATTTTCCCCTTGTTCCCCGGTGGTTACACCACTGCGGAGAATACTTTTTGAAGTGGAGAAGGGGTTGCAGGCCGGGGTATTGTGATATCTGTTCATTATATCTTCCTTTTTATTCTTGTCTTTATTTTTCTCTTCTCTTTTTCTTTTCCTTTTTCCTTTCTTTTTCTTTCTCCTTCTTTCTCTTTCCCTCCCTCTCTCCTCTTTCTTTTCTCTTCTTACCCAGCCCGGTACGACGGCTTGGTCAGCCCGGGTGAAAAAAGCATTCAATGGGGAAAGATTTTCCACAGATGGATATTTTCCCCTTGTTCCCCGGTGGTTACACCACTGCGGAGAATACTTTTTGAAGTGGAGAAGGGGTTGCATAAGAGACAGCTTTTGAGCTAGGTGTCTAATGACTTTGTTCTTCAAAATTCAAGGTTTTCCCCCTCATGAAAACGGTAAGGTAAACTTTCTCAGCAGCCATACAAAAATCTCCAGACATTATATATTTTTCGCCAAAAAGCAGAAACCATCATCAAGTCATTGAAAATTGTTGTTTTAACATTGAAAATGGGAGAAATAATGAATGTATAGGTATATAAAGATTAGTTTAGTGCAATAAAATATATTTAAAAAAAAATTTGACATTCCAGCATGTTTTGGCCAATAACTCTCAAACAGGATTTGCGATGAGTGACTGGTTTGGCTCGTCTATGCCACAAATAATGCCAGTAGGAAGAAATACCATTAACAAAGGAATAATCCATTTCATAATATGGGTGTTGGTGAAGACATAGACAGGGGCTCATGTATCACACACCCAGTTAATCCTACTCATATGGTAATTATTTATTTATTTATTTCGGTATAAAAACAGTCTCACATCAATCCCAAAGGGCAAACCTGTGAGCTTACAATCATATGTCAATTTAAAGGAACATAAAAAAGACAGATAAAAAGACAATTAAAATTAAAATAAGCAAATTATTTTATGTATGTTTTATCGTACAATAATAATTATTATAAAGCGAGATTTAAATATTGATAAAAAATTATGATTGTATGCTTGTTTTAATTGTGTTTTTTCAAACTTCAGCCGACGGATCCATCTACTCTTTGTGGGAGCGCTTATGAGGCGACGCTAACTGTTGATTGTCAAAGGCAGTCTGAGATTTCATCAATGAAAACAACTCAATTTGCACATTTTGTCACGTTGTGGTCTATGAAAGCATGCCAGCCAATATGCTTAATGACTTTAACCTCTATATTTGGTTTCAATAACTTATTTACACATTGTATAGAAAATAAACCCTGCCTACCTGTAAGTTGTTGAACTGTTGCTTGAACAAAAGTTTTGGCAATTGGATTAATGGCAACATTTCCAACTTGTGATTGGCCAGACACAGAAACAACTTGGTTCATTGATCCTACAATGCTGTCGATCTTGCTATGTCTTTCAATAGAAATGTCTGACAACAAATTATATAGATGTTAAGAATAAGAAATACCACTTTTCCATAAAAAAAAAACTATAGCTGCTGCTTTTATCACTGTTACAATTTGATTTGTGAATTGTTTTTTAATAAGAGAGGCTAGACTTATTTTTAGCATACTCAGATACGTATTCTCACATTTGTGAAATTTTGAATCTCATGCATGGTCATGACATACTATTAGATAGGTCTATTAGATTTGTGCTGAAGTGGCAAGTGCATCGCTCCACCCAAGCTCAGTGACAGGATGAATATATATTTGGTTATTATGGTGACACATCATGTAAACATTATGCATGCGTTTAAAATTAGTTTCTACTTACCACTGCAAAAAAAAAAAAAAAAAAATCACACCGAAAAAAAAAAAAAAAAAAAAAAAAAAATTAAAAGTTTACTCATTTAAACAAACTCTGTTAGCATACTCAGATACTAAAACAGATAACGATACAAGAAACAACCTAAAACTACTGTATAACCAAGACAACCATGAACAGTGAAAACCATCACCACCCCACTGCCACCAGCAATTTAAGGTGCAAGACCCACCAGTACATTATTAAGAGTGCCATAATGGTGTGGTTGTCTAGAAATTTGCAGCTGGATTGTTTTAAAAGTCTATGATAAAGTTTTTATTTTCCAAACTACTGTATGTCAAACTTAACTGGAGCCCAGAAAATCAATCTTGGGTGCTTGTTGATAGATGGTGGGTAACAAACTTGAAGATCTAAGTGGGGTTGCCCCTTACTCAAAGATGTGGAGTGTCTTTTAAGCATAGTAGGAAAAATAGGACTGGAAAAAATGTTTTCGCCCTACACAAATTCTATTTTTAGATCTATTAGTATTATGCTCATCACATTTAAACCATCCTTGAGCTGTCTGTCAGTAAAATTTAATGCACATAGCATAAGGGGTTGATTTTTTGGTCTTTAGTTTATTGGAAAATTATTCTTCAAATGATTATTACATTAATTTGTCTGAAATATATAATATTTATTTTTGTTTCTTCTTCTCGTGGGCCAGAGTAAATTGCTCTGCAGGCAAAATTTTGACCTATGTCTGAGAAGGTGTTTGAGGTGTATGATCCTATTTGTTCAAGTTTTTGTTTCTTTTCCAGTATCTTACCATGCACTATGTGTTTAGAATCTGCATCTTTCTTGGTAAAATCTGCTATTTGCATTACTGATGGACCTTTTTCAGGCAACAAATATAAATGACAAAAGAAAAGTAAGTCCATTAAATTATATTAAATGTACATTTTTATCATCTTGAATAAAGATACAAAGTAAAATTTTCAAAATTTAACAATATTATTTTTCCCTTTACATGGAAAAGTAATCAATCTATATAATTCATGATGGATTACATTTCAACAAGCACAAAATGATAAATTGTATTAGTTTAAAGCCAGGTTCTGAAGGCATGTATGTATAAATTATGTTGTATAACTGACTTTTGCTCAGGCACGGAAGGGATATTTAAAAAAAAAGTGGGTAAGATACAGAATTTTCAATATAATTTAAAAACTGGGAAATACAGTAACATGTAAATGTTTTCCTCCAGAATATGGCTTTAAGCCAGCAATATGATGTTAGTTAGGAGCATACCTGGCAACAAATTGGAAAGGTAACCGATTGCTTTTTCTTCTTTATTCACTTCCTTCAGTGTTTCAATGAGTTTTACAACCTGATCTTCCATAGTCATTGAGCTGGTATCCCTCCACTTTTCAAGCATTGTAACACATTTTTCCGTAGGGGTGAATTCTTTCTTACGAAGTTCTTTCAGGAAACCATCATCGATATCAAGCTCTATTGCTAATGCATACCAGTCCTCAATCTTCACAGACAGCTTATTCAAATTTTTATCAGATAAACCCAGAAGGCTTCCAGCTGTACAAAATAATATGAAAAAGAAAAGTATAATGCAATTAATCAGGTATAAAATGGCAAAAAAACAAAAATGTCCATCTCATCTGGGAGTATATGTGCGATGCTACTGTCTATCAGTTGTGCAGTTGCACACTTTCAATCCCCAACCCTGTGCAGGGGAGGATCCAGAGAAAAATCTGGGTAGTGGCATAGTCAATACGAGACATAAACTGTTATAGACGTAAAATTCAGCGCTTTCAATACCAATTTCTTTTCTTTCTCAGCTCTTCCTCTTTCTCTTTATTTTCTTTTTTTCTCTCTTTTTTAAGCAGGCGAGAGATAGCTCCTACAGTAATCATCATGGGTTATAGTAAAAAATAAATAAAAGGAATAAACAAATAAAAAATAAGCATATTGTGGCTGAGCATATAAACATATATTAACTAGATTTAAAAAAAATCTATTTTTTCTGTAATTTTCTATTTCCTTAATTATATAATAAATCTAGATTAGTAATGAGTATATGTCAATTTCGTAATAATATAGAATAATTATAGTGTTCAGGAAATAATAATTCTCAGTTATTATAAAATAAAAGTCAAATTTATTTTGTCTCTTACAGTTTTCTTGATTTGATGTAGAGGCTGCCATCATGTTTCAAATTTACATTGCCTTATCATTTGCAGTGGATGTTATTCTCATTGCCTTCAGTGCCTCTGAAATAAAATAAGAAAAAAATTCTATTTTACAAAAAATTCTGCAATAAATATTTGTTTGTATTAGTAAGCCAACAGATACATTTGAGATGCAGGCAATTGCAAAAACATCAGTGGGGAAGCACCACAGCTAGACTTATTGAATGAAAAGTTGAGGTGCCATGGGGACGGTGGGGGTAGGGTGTAGGCCTACATGCATCAATAGATCAAATAATTTTTTGTGAAATTGTGAAAACAAAATGGAGAATGGGGGTGGGGGATTCAAGTTATGAACATTAATTCGGAAATTTCTAGGACTCTAGGACTTTCTAGGAAAGGAGGAGGATGCTGGGAAGGCGCTGGCACAATTACGAGAATACAAACCACATTTTGAGGATCGGCCTAGGTTTCAGCCAAGGTTCTCTTGACACCGTGGACAGTTTTTCAATTTTTGGGGAAGGAGAGGCAGTAGTAGTAGGCCTAGGCCTACTTCGTACACACACACCAACACACCCATCGAACCATTATATATTACCTCCTACTACTCCCAACAATATGGTCCTGCGGATCTGTAAAAATCAACAACAATCTATAATAGTATAATATAGGGCCTAGGCACTACACCATATATTAATTTTTGAATGTCTTGATGGTGTTGTGAAAGCTATACGTTGTAAAGAATAATGAAATAGTAGGCCTACCTGATATACAGAAAGAGACCAAAAACTCTCCATCACTATTATTCCTCAATATTCGGGAAATTCCCAGTAACGCTTCACTTCACACCAAGCCGCTTCATTTCACACACGCTTCACTCACACACACACACACACACACACGCACACGCACACGCACACGCACACGCACACGCACACGCACACGCACACGCACGCGCACGCGCACGCACACGCACACGCACACGCACACGCACGCGCACGCACACGCACACGCGCGCGCGCGCGACGTACGCGTGGTTGCCGTTTTGGCGACTGGGGAAACTGTTTTAATAATAGTATGGATCGCCAATGGCCGAAAGGTCCACTGATTAATCTCAGATAAGATAATGTAGTATAATACATACTCCAAGTATCGAAATGGAGTTTTCGAGTTACCGTCGGTCATAGTTATAACATGGAGGTATTATTGAGAAGGAGATCACTCGGCAACAGATCCCTTTGACGCGACAAACCTATGTGTTCCCCGCTTTTGGATCGCGCGCGGGCGTATTACCCTATAATTCACATTTTTTCACTAGCAACAACTTGGCAACGACATGCATTTATACGCTTCCAGCAGAGCAGTTGTGCAATAAAACGTTTGATTTTAACCCATTAAATATCTTTATAATGAACAATGTTCCCCTGATTAGATTTTTTCGGGCTTTTGGTATGTTATTATTTGTATATTTCAGGAACGGATTTCGTAAAATATTTATGTTAAAATTAATTCTGTGTTCATTATAATTTTGTCTAAAGATTGACTGGTTCGACTATAAAGCTAAGTCAGCGTAAAACTGAAAAATACTCAGATTTTGGACTCATTTTTAGTTAACCCTCGTTAACCCTAAAATGCCTTAGTTTATTATAATCCTTAATCATTTATTAATTAATATCTGTTAAAATTAGAATTGGCGAATTTTGGCCAATTTATGAAAATTGAAGTTGAAATATACTATACTTTTATAGGTCATGTAAATGTTCCATTAAATTCGAAACTTTTCTTGGTGGAAAATATTAATATGTTTGATATTTTATGAATATGAGAGATAAATGTATCAGCTTCAAAATAGAAAAGATTGCGCAGCCATAGTGATGTAGTAGTGACAGTATGTAGTGCGCATTGAGAAAAGAAGGTGCTCTCCATTTCGTCATGTTCAATTTTTTGGTCAACTATGTCTGTTGAAAATTTGATGGCGGGGAACACATGGGACTTCAAAGGCATCGCGCAAACGTTCTTTACGCGCTGCGGCAACTTTGATCTTGGTTCATTTGCATAGCGCTGCGTGCGCGTAGCTTTGCCGAGGGATCTCCTTCTCAATAATACCTCCATGGTTATAACGTATATTAAACCACGCGTACTGCAGGAGCAAAAATCAGCATACGCACAGCTAAATGTAAATACGCACACGTACGTATACTGATCATATCACTATAGCAACGGATGACTGCTACAACAGTTGGATATAAAAAACCAAAATTAAAAGACGGCGAATGACGTATAAAGCAATTATTAGAGCATGCATCGTACACTAAATGGAATTGTTATACTTAGGTTAGATTTAATGCATTCAAAATTCGGGGCTTGCAGGCCCTCAGGAAATTTTTCAAGCATTAAATCTAACCTTTGTATAATAATTTTCCTATAGTGTACTATGCGGAGCTCTACTAATTGCTTAATACAGTACTATCTCTATTTGCGTAGATTCAGATTCATATTTATTCACACAATGCATAATGGTGGTATTCAAAAATAATATAGATGCAAACAAAATCAAACGCAATTGTGTCTGGAGAAGTCAAATAAGCCCAAAAGGCTTTACGACTGGCTCAACCAGAAAAAAAAAAGAAAAAGTAATTTGTTCCTGATCAAAGACAAGACAAAAGCACGACGGAACAAACACAAGCTAACAACGACAAAAGAAACAACGACAATGTTTAAAAAAAAATGCATATTACATTGATTTGAGTACTACAGTGATATAGAATTAGAATAGAGTTAATGTCTATTTTTCAACACCATTATATATTTTAATACTCTGTGCACCTATTTTGGCCACACTGGAACACAAGCATATAGAATAAGGATATCTGTTTATATTTTGAAATACAACTGAGTAAGTACAGTCTAAAGAATGTGCTGCTATACTTATTTCATTTGAAATACAAATGAAATAAGTACAGAAGCACGTTCTTTAGACTAACGAAATTTATTGAGACACAAGCTTTCGCTAGATTGGGCTTGTTTCATCAGGTGAATGAAATAAAAAACATATATACAATCCCATAGACGATACCGTAGACGATACCGTAGGTCTTATAAAGTGGAGAAAAAAGTGCTGTAAGAACAGCTATAGTAGAATAATAGATAGGTGATGTTAACAGACCGAAACGTATAGTTGGAGAGATAGCTGACATTTATTTAAAGTATTGAGTGCAAAAGGTTTGAGTGTGCAGTTCGATTGTACTTTGCCTACAAATGAAGGAACGGGGCATCTTAAGTTGCGCAATCCTGGGGTTTGTGTGTATAAGAGACAGTCCCAAAAGGGTGACCCAAAAACCCATTTAATTAAAATTTCGAGTGCAACATCCGTTTCAAGTTGGTTGCATTTAGAATACCCCTCAAAATAAAGGGGCGCAACTTAAGACGTGAAAATGCCTGGCATTATTAATTAAGACACAGTCTAATTAACGGCTAATTAACGATTTAATTAAACTTTCGAGTGCAACAAAAATTCTTTTTGCAAA